CTTTTATACAAGAGAAATGAGGAGAGCTTAATTATAAGGAACGAAATAGTTGAAAATTGTTTTGCAAGATTTACGTTGATATTCAATTACTAGCTTTACTTATTGTTTACATCATGAGATCCTTGTTACGCGGATAACTGCTACTACACACAATCTAGATATAAGGGAAAAACTCAGGTATGAATGGTCATTTTTGGATATCCTATGGAATATTAATACAAAATGGGAACAAGTTTAGGGATTAATATAGTTGAATTTTTGCTTGGCATTGAAAATTTATAAGGCCGTTTAGAATCAATTCTAAAATAATAGGATCGACCCTAGATTAATCCCAAACTTTCGTTGGTATTTACGTAATCTTTTATGTGTTGCAACTTGAAACCGATTTGAGTCATAAACTCATCAGATAGGTCATAGGGATGCAATTCCACCTTTATCTTGTAATAAACATACAATATCGAATTCGATAGAGTTTGTCGTTCTGTGCAAACTTAATTTCTTTGTAAAATTTTTAGTAGATTGTATGTTCAACCCTTGGGTTAATTTTCTGGATCTGTCCATGGAATCATATCTAAGGAATAGTTTTCTGCATGAGATAGCTTGAATTTGCTGGATTTCTTAACGTGTGATGCGCTATGACTATTCAACCCAATGTAATCTTGTTCTTATCCTCAGTAATTTAAAGAATTTGTGGTGGCTATGACCTGTTTGTCAGATTAAGCAAGCTATTGTAGATATTGAAGCAATTTGTTGAGTGTTTTCTTACACAAATTAAATATTGTATTCGAGATTGGCTAACTGTCATTGTTTGAAACCGTAAGTCCAAACATCCCTTTATTCAGGGATAATCCATGTGGACTACGCAAACAGTTTCTGTGCATGGTGAATTACATAAGTTTCAAGAAGAATTTGTGTGTGATTCAATCAATCATGAAATATCCAAGTAATCAAACCCTAATTTGCTAATATTGGCCCGTTGTTGGAGGGCTCTATTCAACAATTCGTATGTTGATTCCTGAGTTGATTTTCCACCTTCAGAACCAATTACTCCTTGTGATTCAATCAAACGATTCACGTGTTAGTTACACAGTTTTCCAATCCTGCAAGACGGGCGTGGCCCAACCCAAAATTCAATCCAAAAATATTAAATTGGAGGAGAAATATTAAAAGTTATAATTCAGAAGTTAGGCTATGGTTTGGGGGGCCCCTATCCCGCCGCTCAGCCCAACAATTTCATGCAACTAGGCCTACTCTACCTAAAAAATTTGGAGTTAATTGTTAAAAAATACATAAAAAAAAAATGTAGGGTAAAAAAATTCTTAATTTTGATATTTATTTGTTTTTAAGTATATTATTTGCAATTTCTATATTTTCTTCTAACATTTATATCCTCCCTTGATTCATGAATATTTTTTTTGAAAATTGGTGCATTAAATATTTTCTAGTTTTATGGGAGAATTTTAATATTCCGTATTTTTATATTCTCCCTTGATTCATGCATATTTTTTTTTGAAAAGTGGTTTTGTTTTCAGATTATATTTAATACACTTTGATTCATGCGTATTTTTTTTTTTTTTTTTAAAAAGTGATTTTGTTTTCAAATTATATTAAAATTCGAACTCCATAACAGTGTAATAAGACATTTACACAAAATATTATACTATTATATTTTGTCAAACATATATTTTCATATAATTTCATTCAAAACAGTCTATCTCTTCTTTAAATTTGTTATCATATGTACAAAACCACTTAACATTGTTTTTGTTACATTGTCTTTGTTATAGTGTATTGTTACACTATTGTTTAATGAATTTGTTATGTATTTTGTACAATGTAAATAATTTTATATTTCAAATTATATAAAAAAATAAATAATAAATTTTGAAATTCAAACAAAGTGATATATCATAAAATAAACGGAATATTAAAGTTCTCTAATAAAAGTAGGAGATATTTAATGTATAAATATAGTTTAAAAACAAAATCATTTTCCAAGAAAAGAATACGTATGAATCAAGGTTCATTAGAGAATTTCAAATAAAATGACTAAATTTTAACACTTAAGATAAATGACTTGTTATAGTTTTTATAAAAAAAAAATTTACAAAATGAGCTTTTACGTCTTTGTATCTCAACTGTGTACCTTTTTCCAAAATATTTTGTTCTGTGTATTTTTTTACAATTATGTCTAATTTAGTGTACTAACTTCTAAAAGACCCAAAAAATTTTAAAAGAAATTTGGAAGTCAGTATCGTTATATGGACTTATCAATTTTATCAAACTATATCTTTCCTTCAGAAGTGAAGTAAAAATAAAAATTAAAAACTCCTAAATTCTAGGAGTTTGATTAACATTAAAAAATTTATCTCTCGTATATCTATATCCATATATAGGTTAGGACTATATTTCTCATATTTATATAATAAAGTAAGTAGAAAAGTTTGTCTTGAATTTTCTTACCTCTCAACTAATTCTCTTTCCCTATCTTATACTAACTGATACAACTTCTCTCCCTCTATCTCATAATATCTCTCTTATCTCTCACGTTTTAAACACACTCTCTCTCATCTCTCATATAACTATCTTTAAATATATATATATATATATATATATTTAATAATAAAAAAATACATTAATACCCATTAAAACTCTAATAATAAGAATTATTTCTAACAAATTATAGGGTCATTAACATATGTCATCTAGAACAGAGCCAAGAATTTTATTTAGGGTGAGCACTTTCATTATACACTCTAATTTTTTTTCTCCTAACTAATAACACTATAAAATATATTTATACTTATTATATCATACTTGATATATGAAGTCGGCCAAAAAATAATGTATATTATATATGTATAAAAATTGACTAATTATCACCATTATAAAAAAGTAAAGTTAATTGTCATTTTTATAATTAAAAAATATTAGTTATTCACTAACAATCTGTTGAATTTATTCAATAAACGATGTGTTAAACACTATCACTAAAAATATTAGTATGGTAAGATCTAACTGTTGGTGACTAATATGACCATTAGAATCAGCATTATAAATAGCATCCATATTTCTCAACTCTTTTCACGCCCTTTGTTGAAACTCTCTCTTTCACAGGTATTGTCTAATATTTTTGTAATTTTTGAATTAATTATTGATATCTTATTATCTGGTATTTTATTTGCGATCCATGGTGGTCCCAACAAACGTACAAATATTTTAAAAAATATAAAAAAGGATAATATTATGCAATTAAGCAACTTTGACATATCCTTCATGTATATTAGCATTGTTGTGTTTATGTGTTACACTCGCACATAGTTGAAAGGGATTGTGTAAAATTTCTTGTACCTTAGGAAAGTCTGTTCGATTAAATGACAAACTTCTAGCAGTCTGGATATAAAATTTTCTTTAATTTATTGATTTAACTAATTATAATTATTGACTTGATAATGAGGCCTAGTATTTATTAACACCCGCTATCAATCGAATGATTATGATAATTAAGTTAACAAGCTATATCAACAAATTAAATCCGAATAACATTATTGAATTGGAGAATTCTCAACGACCAGAGTTGTGTAGACAGAACTTTGCCAGTATCGCAGATCGAACTGAAAATTGACCAAAATGACGGGGTAAATTAACAAAATATGGAAAAGCAGAGGTCTTTCGGATATAATTTCTTTTGTTCTGCTGCAGTTAAAATTACGGTCAGTCCCCTCTTTGGTTTCAGGGTTTTACAGCAAAAACTCCATTGGAGAGTATCAGAGAAGGAAAAAAAGAGAGAGAGAGAGAGAACGAATGAAGGAGAGAGAAAACATCCAACCAAGGCCGGTAATGGGATGCCGGCTGGGACGGACGGCTCTGACTTTTCCTTCCGCAGGGTTGTTATCCAGTAAGCTTCGCTGATTTTCCTTTCTTTTCCCCTTTAAATCCCATATAATTTAATTTTCAATTAGTTTTTGTTGAATTGTAATTTGATTTTCATCTGAATTAGGTTTGGTTTTAGGGTACTGATTGGTAGCTAAAAGCAAGTGCTGTCTCTCCAAATTCGTCTTCGCTCAGGTACAATAATACATCGATTAATTTGTTGGGGCAGTTGAATTGGATTCAAAAAGGTTGACAACGTATTTCATAAATTACGTTTCGAATGGTGGAATATCATTTGTTCAAGGGAAGGGCAATGCAGCATAATTTCAAGGGCGTTTTATATCACTTGTTTGGTAGGTGGATGAAAATATGGAAAGATCCAAGGGAGGAATTCTTCTTCCCTTTTTTATGTTTGGTATAGTGATGAAAACTCTCGAAGATTGATTTTTTTTTTTTTTGTGTTGGTAGGAGGGAAAATTGGTAGGATAGAAAAAAATATAGATAATATATTTAAAAGATATAAAGATAAATAATGTATATTTTAATGTGCATAGTTAATTTTTTATTCATTTTTTCCTCTCAATTGGTGGGGTAGATTTTGGTGAGTTAGAAATAAGACTAATCCATCTATTTTTTCATCATTTCTATTTTTTTCCTTACCAAACAAAGTATAATTGAATATTTGGTCTCCCTCAAATTATAAAACCAAGTGAATTTTGTTTCTAAAATGTCTCAAGCTAATGAAATGCTTAGTCTAGAAATAGGTTCAGAAATTATGAAATTAGTGTTAGTGATATTAAATGATATGGTTTTGTTAATCAGCTTGTGCATGTTCTTGGCTTCTTATTCGACAATTAGTAATTAGGTTTCAATTGAATTGTATTTGGAGCTAGGACTTGAATATTTTTTTGGATGTTCGTAGTTGTGATAAAAAAAACTGTGACTCTTCTAACAACATATTTAATTCATATGTTTTTAAGATCTTTCTTCTTTCATTAAGAAAGTTGGATTTTGTCAATTCAATTCAGGTATTTTCGCAATACCTCTTGATTTGGTTGGTAGCATACTGCAGGGTATCTTACAATTGTTTTCTTTTTCCCAGAAGGTATACTTTAGGAGCACTAAACATGTTCCTATCAAGAGCAAAGGAGGAGAGTACAGACACACTTGCTGTTTCAGCCCTCGCTACTTGCTTCGTTTATCTTCTGCTTGGCAAATTAGGTTAGTTAAATGATCATATCTTTGAAATTATAAGTTTACGTTGTGGCTCTGGATTTGTTATAGATTGTTTTCTTCCAATACATAACCAAGCAATACAATGACTACATTAGTTCTAACATTATCAATACTCTGCTATCAAATACAGAATTCACACTACAATTGGGAGAGCCAGCCTACTTTAGCATCCCCTGTTACTAAGTAGTAGTGACACTATATAGTACTGTCACTTTAAATATTTCTATTCATGAAGAGCAGCATAATTGTTGATCAAGGCCAAGGCATTGCTAGTCATATGTGCGACATTTAGGATCTGTACCCTCACAGTGTTTTTCAAATTCCCATTTTGTGCTTTCCCGCCAAACCCCTCTGTGCATGTGTCCTCGTCTGTCAAGGCGGCACTGACCCATGTTTGTATGTCATTCATCACGAGACCATAATTCGGGCCATTGAGTTGACCCATCTCCCTAGAGATTTTCTCAGCTGGTCTACTGAGTCACTTAGCTCCTCGACACAGTCATGCATAGCGGCAACCTCTCTAGGTTTCATTCCATGGCTTTGTGACAGCTTAACCATCATAGTGGATGTTGACCGGGCAGTGTTGAGAGAAACAGAGAGAGCAGTCTGGGCTAGAAGCTTTGGATCTGTTCGAATGGCACTTGAATGGCTTGAGAGTGAGTTGAAACAGAGTTTAGGATATGTTGTTGCACTGCAAGATGTTTTAATGAACTCAGTGCTGGTCGTTCCGGCTGGAATGCGAGCAGCTGAGTTTGAGTTTATCTGGGAAGTGAAGGCAAGTAGGAGGAGAAAAGCTGTGAGAAAATTGTTAGAGAATGAGCCTTCCATGTCTCTCCCTTTCTTTCTGTCTCACAAACAGCCTAAAGCTAGTGGAATGATGAAAATGGGAGGGAAAGGATCCAAATTTATAGAAAAATCTTGAGTAAATGTTGTGTTAGATATTAGTAATACAGACAGCTGGTGGAAAAGTGTAGAGGACCCAAAAAAAAAAAAAAATCCATGAATTGATTGTCTCAATTCTAGTTGGTCATGAGCCATCCACTTGTTATAACTTAGAAAAATATCTTCATTTTTAGTAACTGGGGTTTGATATTTTTCCATGAAACTAAATCAATTATTGTACATCATGGGGATAGGACATGCTTTTTGTGATAGACATTGCTTTTCAAGTATTACATACATTGTGGAGATTTAGAAGAAGTACACATCTCGAATAAAGAGTTTTCTGGCGGTAAATATATATAGATAACTGTTGAAATATGCACGATACATAAGATATGTGAGCAAGTACTACCTATCAAAGAAAAGGGAAGAGCAATGCTCTAGAAACCTAAGTTGGGGATGTAATCAGTAACTTAATTCAATGCAACTATTGAATTAGTGTTGCATTGAACTAGTTGTCGGATAAAAGGGAGCTCGTCCAGATAGTATTTTCCAAAAAGAAACGGGAGTTAGTTACCCTTGCTTAAGAAGTAAAAAGAGGTACTGTTCCTTTGTCAGCGGGGATACGAGTCCCCTAATGGCTTTTACATTTATTTACCTTTGATATGTTTTTTTACAACTGAGGACAGTCGTAACCATGTGTGACTTTGTGATATCTCTGCTAGGTTACTAATTATTTTTCTTGTATTGTGGTTAAGTTGTTTTATTTATCCGACATAAATTGAACATAGTGGGACCTTTCCTTTGGTGGTCCAAATTCGATCAACTAGCTAAAGAAAGATTAGGATCAAAGCAGCCAGCAAAGAGCTCCCAATAGTAGTTGGAACTTATCTTTTAAATTGGTTCACGTGAAGTGTTTAAAGTTGTAGATAAATTTGAACTTTGGATATTCATAGTATAATGCTTGGTAAAGTCACGTGGGCACAAATTCAAACGGATAATATTGTACAATGAGCGTTGATGACGGTACAAATGGTATCAACATCATTCATCCTTATGGTGTGGAGGTCATCTAGTTTGTGCATATTGGTCTGGCGGGATGGTAGATTGCAACAATGACAACTAGTGACGTAGAAGTAATCATAGAGTATCTCATATCACCTAGGTCTAGGCGGGTCTAAACAACACGCTTGAGTATGGATTGCGATGATCCCATCTTGTGAATTAGTTGGTAAATTTGAATTTTAGATTTTCATAATTGAAAAATTACAAGGTATAGTCCAAAACGAACGATGTAGTTTAACACAATTCCGTTTCGTTACATAAATATCAATGTTGAGTTTTCTTTAAGTAGAGGATCGAACCTCATATGAAAATTTACCAAATAGTTGCCTTGAACATGCCCATGAAGAGGATACAAATCCAACTAGTGGTAAGTGATGATGCACAAATCGGCTTTGCGCAAAATCAACCAAGATTGTAAACGGGGGCAATTAATAATAAAATAGTAAATAATGAGCAAAACACTAATATATATAGTGATTTGGTTCGGGTGATTTACTCCACTCTCGAAAACTTCAGCGATGGCCTGAATCTTTTATTAATGAATAAATTCGTCGGAGATAATATTTTTCATAAGTATTACGGTGTTTAGAGGGAAAGGGACAGGGAGAGAGAGTAGAAGTATATGTAGAGATCTGTTTACTGCACATGATGAGAGAGTAGAAGTATATGTAGAGATCTGTTTACTGCACATGATGAGAGAGTAGAAGTATATGTAGAGATCTGTTTACTGCACATGATGTTTTGTAAGACACCAATGGAAGAAGTTATTAGTTCACATCACTGAGTAATTGATGTGGCCCTAAAAGAACGTACCTGAAAACCAATTGGGAAATAAAAACATGATAGCCAAGAGACAAGTTGATAGGATGGCTCCACGGTTGCATGGATAATAACCCAACTTGCTTTGGGTGGGGTCGTACTAGATGTAGGTTGCAACTGGGTGGGCTAACTGGTGGAGTACTCTAATGGTCACCCGACTTGTCCATATGCTATCTCAACTTGTTCATTGGGTCCAAGTTTTTGTAGGACAATTAAAATGCATTGAACCACATGGCCGTCAATCTGGAACGTAAAGCTGTTTGGTATAGGATGGGAATGTGACATTCTAGCCTCTAGGTGAAGTTCGCTTAACAATAAAACATGGTCAAAACAACTTGAAAGTCCTGTATTATTTGAGGTAGTTTTAATGTATAGGTCTACGTTATCTTCGGCATTCATCTAGTGAAAAAAATATTGGGTGTTACTGTTATATCATATCAGTAGTGTTACGTGGTGTAACAGTCTACTAATAGATAAACAAATCAACATAGGGGTTTAACTAAAACTCATAATCACCTAGTGATGTCATATATAGCCATTTTCGTAATAAAAAATGAATCATATTTTACTTTTTTTTTTATTAGCTCTTGAATTCTTTTTTATATTGAGTCATTTAACTCTTTAATTGTGTCAATTGAGCTCTTATGTCTATCTCCGTTAGATTTTCTAACGGAAAATGGCAAATTGTGTCACTCACGTGACACAAATAGAAGAAGTTATTAGTTATATATATAACCACTTAATTATGACTCTTGTGTCAATTAAACTCATAATTTTTTTTTGTGTGTAAATTGAGTTACTAAACTTTCTAATTGTGTAAATTAAAGCCTTTGTCTTTTTATGTTATATAGTCATGTGAGCGGCATACTCTAACGGAGGCAAATAGAAAGGCTCATCAACACAATTAAAGAGTTCAGAGACTCAATTTACACACACAAAAAGTTATAGAGTGAAAAGTTTTGATTTTCATTGCACGACATCTTTTAAAGTTGTTCGGGTTCAGCCTAAAGTGGAGGATATACATACAATAAAGGTCGAGGATGTTTTAGGACACCTAGTCCATGCAATCAACCGGAATTCTAGACCACCGAGGCCAAAAAATGGGTCTAAATTACTAGCGTTGTTGAGTTTATAAGGGGATGGATTGTGGTTATGTAATCCCACATCACTTGACGAACTCTATGAAATGCTTGTTAAGTATAAATTTTGAATTTTTATTATACAATGCATTTTAAAAACTGTGTAAGCCTAGTTCAATATGAATAATATAGTATAATGTGATTTTGATTTTTGTTACAAGTATAAACGTTGACGCTATCTCCACTTGTTCTATGGGTCCAAATTTTTTGAGGACCTTGAAAATGAGTGTAAGGCGGCCTTGTATTATTTAACATACTATGCCCACGTTTAAACTGCTGTGCGACATTACGATGGCAATTATTTTTGGCATGCAAGTACGGTACACGGGATTTACGACCCCACATCGTCACAGGGCTGGTTTAACCACAAGGTTAACAAAGCATGAGTTTTAGGTCTCACGTTCAAAGGAGGTCCAAAAAATTTTTTTTTTTTTTTTTTGATGGTGCATATAATTAGTCTAAATAAAAAATTGTTAGACCTATAAAATTTTTGGCTAAAAAAAAGTTGTATGAAAATTTATAATCAATCAAAAATAAATTTAATTAGTAGGCCTAATTTTTGTTTTGTATTTTAGATATTATTCAAATTTTTAAGGCCCACATTTGAAGAATTCAAATCAATATCTAATTTTGTTTGTCCAAAATACTCTATACTTGGTTAAGTCCAAATTTTAGAGGTCCCATTAAATTGCTTGTTCAACACTTAATTGATAAAATTGAATTAACGATATTTTTTATTGAGAAAGATTTATTAAGATGAAAACTATCTCACTAATACATAAATTTTGAGGAGATCTAATTAGGGAGAACTCTTTACACCCGGTGCTCTACCATTTGCTGTTTTATCCGATATTTCCTTCGTCATTCAAAATAGATTTATGGACAAAAAATTCCAACATAGTAAACACAAAAGATTGCATAAAACCTTTTTTTTTCATTTATTTATTTTTTTTTGGGTGCAAGACTCTTTGCCAATATGGATAACGAGAAAAAGACAACAAACCATAATCTACATGAAGAAACCAAGAGGAAAAATTATAACACCGGATTTTCTGTTCTGGCTTATATGATTTAGTTTTAGTGTTAGTTTTAGTTTTAGTGTTGACTATGACATGGACCTCAAAGGTTTGTTTGTTTAGGGAGAATGGTAGAAAACGCAAAATATAGAATTTTTTTAAAATTTTCATGTATTTGATTAGCATGAAAAGTAAAATAATATAAAAAATAAATTTTTTTCGTACTTGAATTTTCTCACAAATAACCAACATTTTTTTCTTGTAAAAAACACAAGGAAATGTAAGAAAGTTGAGATCTATAACTAACTTTTCATTTTACTCTTATTTTTCTTAAAGTATTTTATTGGTTAATAATTTAAAAAAAATTTGGTATAAATTTGATTAATCATATAATTCTGCCCAATGACCTTTGTGTTGATGATTCTCTTAGAATTAAGTTTCGAGTCACTTTTTTAAAATAGTCTAACTTTCAATTATAACTTTATATTTTTTTAGATCGATTTGATATAATTAAGGATAATTTAGACAATTATAAAAAATTTCTTATAATTTTTTTTCAAACAATAGAATGGAACTTTTTTAAATATTTCTCGTAAAATTCTTCATTCTAACCAAATACATGAATGAAAATATATTTTTTATCATTTTCTTTTCTTTTACTTTACTTTTTATCATTTTGATTTTCCATCATTTTTTTTCCCTAACCAAATGCGCAACAAATTAAATGTCCTTTGGATTTGTTAACCCTAATGCTCCGTTTGGTATGAAGGATGGAAAGTAAGAAAGATCAATTTTCTATCCTTTAAGGATAGAAAGTATGAATGATACACTTTAATTCTTTTATGTTTAGTTGGATGGATGAAAAATAAAAATGACTAATTTTTTTTTTAATTTTTTTTGTGCTAACTAATATTAGGGGTAACAATCGAGTCTTGTTGTGTTAGATTCGTATTGAGTCATAAAATTATGAATCTTTTATATTTGTTGTTCGCATGTCATGTCTATTTCAAGTTCGTGTACAGTTATAATCAAGTTTGTGTCATAGTGTGGAGTTCGAGTCATATCATCATGTTGAGTTAAAAATTTTCACTCATAGTTAAAATGAAAAAAAAAAAAAAAATTAATTTAAAATTGTTATTTTTATTTTTAAATATATATATATATATATATCATTGTATTTTTATATGAAATTAATGTACACGTAATATATAAACAAATAAGATACATCTCAACACAAATAATTAATTTTTCATCCATTTTTCTTCTGATTTTTTAGAGAAATTGATTTTGGTGAGTTGAAGGAAAAGTTAATTCATCCACTTTTTCATCCTTCCTATTTTTCTTCCTTACCAAACATGATATTTTATTTATCTTTCTAACTTTTCATCCTTCCAACTTTTCATCTTTCTATTTTTTTATTATATTAAATGGAGTATAAAGAACAACCAATGATGTTGGCCCAAAACTCAAAAACTCGTGCTCTTTTTGAAATTAGCTGAACAACTATGTTCGGAAAAAAAAAATGTTTCTTATGTTTCGTTTGGTACGAATGATGAAATATAAGAGGCATACACTCTTTATTCTTCAAGGAATGACAGTAGAAATGATACATTTTCTTTCCTTTATGTTTGATTGGATGGATGAAAAATAAAAATGACTTTTTTTTTTTAGCTAAGATTAAGAGTGACAATCGAATCGTGTCGTGTTATGTCAGATCCGTATTGATTCATTACAGATTTGTGTCGAACATTAGTCAAACTTAACTCAACTCATTTAACTAATTGTGTCGTGTCAAGTTATGAGTTGACTTATTTATTTTCATATCGTGTTCGTATTTGTATTGATCCACATAAATTTTGAATAAAAAATTTAACGTTAATATTTTTTTTTAATTTTTTAATTATATATATATATATATACACATATATATACATATTTTATTATTGTATTTTTATATGAAATTAATGTATACATAATATATGTATATATTAAAAGATATATATACAAATAAATACATCGCAATACAAATAATTAATTTTTCATCCACTTTTCTTCTGATTTTGAAGGGATTGATTTTGGTGAGTTGGAATGAAAGTTAATCCATCCATTTTTTCATCCTTCTTATTTTTCTTCCCAACCAAACATAATGTTTTATTTATCTCTCCAACTTTTCATTTTTTCAACTTTTCATCCTTCTATTTTTCCATCATACCAAACGGAGCATTAACATTTTTATGTTTAACTAGTATTACTCTTTGTCTAAATACCTAAATCCCCTAATACATACAAATCTGAATCCGACTTCGAGAACATTATCTTATTGAGGAGGGAGAATGACATTGGCCCTGCGGCCTCTTAAATTATAAATGTCGCAATTCTCTCTTATGTACAAAGTGTCACATGTAATAGTATAGACAATTCAAATTCAAATTATTTTCGCCACTCATGCAACATATTTAAGAATGTAATTAAGTCATTATTTTTTTATCTCAATTTTACCGTGGCCGGTGATGAAGATGAAGATGAAGATAAAAATTGAAAGGGTACAAAATGATTGCACATGATTGAGACAGTTAATAAGCTTGCATACGTTGAGACACGTGAACAATAACGCCTGAGAGAAACAATGTCCATCGTAATCAAACCGAGCAGATGAATAGTGCTCTGTTCGTTGGGTCAAGCTGTCAAAATAGCTAATTCAAGAGCGTGACCAAGGATAATGCCAAGACAATTTTCTATGGAAACCCTCGACAAGCAATAGAGTAAGACAAGGCCGAATTGAAGGGAACATTGTCTTAATCATAGGATCGTAAACATCACACCCTTATAAATCAGATATAACATAGAAGAACTTTAGGAGAGATCTTATTATTCAAAAAGGATTTAGCTAAACATTAAGTGTACCATCTAACATATCCAAGAGTAAAAATTGGGGTATAGACTTTGCCATACAACCCTATAAAATTCATGTTAAGCATAGTTCTAAATTATTTTGCTTTCTTTCAGAGTCATTACTAGCTTAGACATTAGAGTGTCTCCGACTAACTTATTCCCGGTCTCTTGTAGTTTACTCGTTTTGCAGGATCAATGATTTAATCTCTATTCATCTTCTCAAATCAAATTAAATCAAACACTAAAGGTAAGAGATTTTTGCATCTTACAAAAATAAAGATGAAGATGAAGATGATGGTGGTGCTGGTGAAATGAAAGGCGACTACAACCGATTTAAGCAAAGGGAATGCAGCGGGATATTTTATTCGAGCGCCATGATTGACAGTCCTCGGACAACGCCTTGGGTTGAGCAGCATTTCACGCACTCTACAGTCCAATGGTTGCATTCTAGCATGTGATATCTTCGCACGTTCATCGGAGCATTACAAGTTGTACACTTTTATGGCTCATCCAAACAGGTGATATCCTCCCACTTAATTAATCGAAGCATTTGACTTTTATCAATCAAATGGAAGAATATCACATTGCGGTACTCTTTTTTTTTTTCCTTCCCTGGAATAATGCTAACTACTTTACATATTCCATGGATTTTTTTTTTTTTATTTCTCTTTAGTATTTGACCATTGTTATGAACTCGAGAAATCTATTATTTATAAGTAGATTTTTCACACCAATGCATTATTCTTTTTAACAAACATAGAATCAAGTAATCAACAGCTTGAGCAGGCTTTATGTCACGGTTCTTGAAACTATATCCAACAAATGGAAGGAATTGAAGGCGAAGAGATATGATTTAAAAGCAAAAAAAAAAATAAATAAGAAATTTGAAATATTTATTAGTGATGTGAAAGCAGAAATTAAGTGTGAATGGTTTTGTCATAGTTGTTTAAGGAAGTGTACGTCCTTAGAAGTAGATTAGATGTATATTTATAGAGTTAAAAAAAAGATTTATACCAGCATTTTGTATTTGAGTTTCACAAGTTTTCTCAACTTGGCAATGTTTTGTTTGATCTATTTCTATCTCAGCTGTATAAATTCTATTGTGTACTATCTAGGGTTGTATTTTCTCCTAAATTGCATGCTATCATATGATTTTGATCCTCGTTGACCCCTCATATTGGAGTTAGTGTATCATTTGATTCGCAATTCTGCATTTCCATTTTGAATGAGTTTAAGCCACTCTTTGGTCCAACTTTTTCATTTTATTTTTTTTGGGGGGGGGGAGAGTGGAGAAGGGAGCTTGAACCTTTCACTTTAAAAAGACAAAATTTTCACAAGATAAGAAATATTATTGGATCAAAGCTCGTTGGTAGTCCAACTTTTTCATGTTTATGTTGTTTCTTTTATATGTCACTCAACAAACGTTTTATTTTTTTACTAATTTCTTTTCTTGTTTTTCAATGCATCAATCTTAATATCTACATTATAGTTATACTTATGTTATAATATGTTGTTTTTTATTTGTCCAGCATTCTACGCCATAAATCATGCTTGGTCTTCCACCTATTTGGTCAATAGTTCGGTAGAAAAAATTAGTTCAAGTCATGCAGTTTTTAGGTTGCAAACAAATATATATCTGGTCATATTCTTGAAATGGTATACTCCTGAGTTTTCTTCTTGAATCAATTAATGATTTGAACATGTGTGTCTCTGTGTTTGTGTGAGAGAGAGGGAGAGGGAGTATTCTTTTATCTAAATCTGAGAAGTTGGCGGTAACTACCTATGTGACTAATAAAGCCTGCCTTGCAGCTATAGTCAAGTGCTTTGCACGTGCCGTGTGAGGATGGGTATGCATTGTATCTATTTCCTTTAGTTTCATATGACTTGGAATCTGCAATTTAATGCAACACAATTTGACTTCATCACGCAAAGCAAAGCCCACCTGAAAGTTACCCTATAAATTGGATCCTCTCAGGTCTCAATCCACAAACCTATCTTTCCATTTCAAGGTTCAGAGAGAGAGAGATGGCAACATTATGTTCATATCATGTTCTCACAGTTCTGATGATCACCACTCTACTATGCATCTTATACATCCAGCCAATCTCAGCTTCACCACAAGCCTACACAAACTTCATCAAAACTTCTTGCTCCAAAACCACATACCCACCACTCTGCACCCAAACTCTCTCTCCCTTCGCCACTTCTGTCCAAACCAACCCCATAAAACTCTGCAACAGAGCCCTCAACATCTCCATCCAAGCTGCACACAACACCTCCACCTTTGTCTCAAATCTCTCAAAACAAAAAGGACTCTCATGGATTGAAAAGGCCGCCATTAAAGACTGCATGGATGACCTGAAAGACTGTGTCTACCAGCTCAAGCAAACTATGAGCGCAATGGGTGAGCTTGGGGGTTCTGACAGGGAATTTCAGTGGGCGAATGCGAAGACATGGGCCAGTGCTGCTATAACGGATACGGACTCGTGCCTGGATGGGTTTGAAGGGAGAAAAGTGAGTCCCCAGATGAAGAACAAGATCAAAAGTACAATGATGGGTGTGGCTAGACTGACTAGTAATGCCTTGGCTCTCATCAACCATCTCAATTATTAGACTCGGTCAAGTGAAATACTGTCACTACTGAGTCTGATAACTTCTTCACATTTACAAGAAGTTCTTTTATAGAGGGTTTGGAAGGGAGAGATCATGTTTTGTGGAATAGTGTGTCATGTGTCTATCCTTTTGCTGCATTCACCGGAAGTGAGGTTCTTGCAATAGTGATACCACAGTTAAAGGGCAGATAAGGATAAAAGACCGAAAAATAATTTTCTGTAAAATAAATTTTGTTTTGATTTATTTGTAATTTCCGATTGTAAAAATAATAAAAATATAATTTTACCCGATTTATTTTCATTGTTAGAAAAAAAAAAAAAGTGTATGGAATAGTCTGTAGTTGGACCCTTAAAAAGGTCACTCACTAAACAAAAAAAATGGATGCTACAGTGAAGTTCAAGCATGTCCAACAAGATGGTCACGTTGGGATTGCTCAATAATCTTAGTTTATTATGCATTACCATTAAAGCTAGCTAGTGTAGGAATCATCTTACGAAAAGGGGGCCATATGGCTCCCCTACCTTTTCTACAATTGTTTATTAGTCTTATTTATTGAAAATTATGAGGCTGACACGTCTAGTTTAGTCATCTTCAATACAACCTCCAATTCCAATAATCGTACAGTGCCCAAGAGGGAAACAGAACTACAAAGCAAGTTAATGCTCCAAAACAAAGATGAACAAGCCCCTAAATTAAAGTAGTGACAATAAACTTCAAATTATATCATTGAGCTTAATAAACTTTGGGAAAAAAACCAAGTATAAAATAAATTTTTTTATTTTTAAAGTATGTGTTTAGTGTCTATTAGGTACCTAATCTTCCAATTGTGTCTATTCAATCCCTAAGGTTTTTAATTTATATTTAAGTGGTCAAATCTCAAACGTTCGTCAGAAAATCATGACGGTTCTGGTCACGATCTAATCACATGGTTCTTAATCTTATGTCTATTTGGTCTCTAAAGTTCATAATTTATATATATTTGATCTCTAAAATTCCTAATTTATGTCTATTTGATCCACGTGATTGGTGCGTGACTAGTGACATTAATGATTTTTTTTTATGAATATTTGGGATTGAATTACATAGATATAAATTAGAAACCTTATGAACCAAATAGAGGTACAATTAGAAAATTAGAGACCAAAAAGACACTATACACATCCTTTGGAGACAAAGTTTACAATGAACCCAAATCCATACCTTATTATAAGATTTAATCCACAATCGATCATAAACTTAATTTTATACCTTACATGCCAGAAGTCTATCCGGGAACCGGCGATATGACCGGGAACGTGAGTGATTTGAGAGAGAGAGAGAGAGTATGTGAACTGTTTGAGGAATTGTTTAGCCGAAGGTGATGGTGACTGAAGTGTATAAGAGGCAGGGGATTGGTGGTAGCAACGAAGGGTAGCTCTTAGCATTTCGGAACAGCACAAAATGTGGGCTTTGGTAGAATAGATTGAGATACTTATACCTTCGATATATGTAGAGGCACAAAGACTGAATGACTTCTTTATTTTTGTTACAAGGTGTTCAGAACAGTTTACGTTAACTGTTCTCTAGAACTCAATAACAATTACCGCGACATGCACCGAAAGACTGAATGACTTATCAGTTTTCTTTTAGGGCCCATAGCATTTGCTTTCCTGATTATTATATGGGTTTTATCACAAAAAGGAGGTTTTAACCGATTGTTTTCATCTCATATTCAGAATGATGTGATTAATTAATCGTATTTGATGTTTGCATATTAGTCAGTTGACTCAGAATTAAAAATCGATGACTAAAATTCTTTTCGCTCTTAGTCAAATTCACCATCAATATATACCTCATAGAAACAAAAAATCTATTTGATCCATACACTTGTAGAACTAAGTAAATAATAAATATTGAATACTGATGAGTTAATTAGAAGGGCTTTTTATGTAGAAATTGCATTTTTCAAAATTGACACATTGTTTGAATCATTAAGTGCCCTTGTTAAATCATTAAGATCTTTTGTTAACGAATTAAATCCTTTCGAATTCATGCCAAGAATTAGTCATTCTTATAAACTAACTTCACATCAGAATTGTATTATGTGAATTTACTGTTTTGAAAACTGTCACTAGATAGCGTTTGGCATATAGGTGATAGAGAGATTAATAAATTTTTTTTTTTGAAGGGGAAGGGGGAGGAGGACTTGATCTTTTGACTTTAGAAGGTAAAATTTTTATACGACAAGAAGTACCATTGGATCAAAAATCCATTAATGAAATCAATAAATAGACCAGCATAATAAAGTTGAAAGTTTGCATGGTTTTCAATATGCTTTATTCATCGGATAAAACTCCGTAGTTTTGTCCACAAGTAGATTAACCAAAGCCAACGTATTGCTGGTGATTTGGACTGCAGGTTCAATCTGTACTCTCAATGCCTTCTTAATTGCACCATTCACTGCAAGCCCATTAGATATGTCATAGCATTCACTTTGGCTTGTAAGCGCAGCACTAACCCACGTTTGAACATTACGTTTGTGCCACAAAAAGTTACCATTGCTTTGTCTCAACTCCTTGAGCTCCCGGACAGATTGCCTTAGCCGGTCACTGCTGTCATTAACCCCATCCAAACAGTCCTTTAGGGCTGCATGGTCATTAGCCCTCAGTCTTTGATTGCTGGTTAGCATGGACAAGAATGCCTTGGCTGACTCGGTCTTGGCTAGGCTAGTGACCAACTTAGTCTCGGCCAATGTCTGTGGGGCTTGGCAGGGCATCGGTAGCATAGGTCTTTAGGGTTGCCTCACACACTAGAGGGTATCTTGTGGCCTTGCATGCTGCCCCGACGTAACTTATCCCAGAAACGGACAACATGGCGGAAATGGTGTTTGTCGCAGCAACGGAAGCGGTGCCGGCGACAGACAAGATAGAAAGAAGGAGTGAAAACAATGCAAAAGCAGCTCTAGCCATTTTTTGTGGATAGTGATGGTTCAAACGTAGGGTAGTTGAGAAGTGGGGAGTTTTCTATATAATGGAGATTATTTATAGGGGTAAGATGTTATCACATATGCCTTCTTTGGTGCATCCTTAGTAGGGCTCTATGGTATTAAATGGTTATAATTTGCAGAATGAGTCAATTGAGCATATATTTAGATCTTTTACCACTGACCATATTTGTCCAGCCTGCCTTGAAAATTGGCGCTCTATGGCGTAAAACCTATATTTTGTTGATGTGAACAAAGCCCACCCAAAACTTTGGGGGTGCTTGTTATATATATCTTAAATGGCAAAGATGTTGGTGTAGTTTGTCCTAAACTGTTGGGGGCGTCAATGTAATTTATCATTTTATTTTTAATTAATTATGAATTTAATGTTAAATAGAAATAGGATACCAAAAAATTGACTTTTGGTAGATCAAAAAACATCATGGCACGAAAATGGATCAAAAAATAAAAATATTTAGTCTAGGTGAAATTACAAAAAAAATTGAAGTTAACAGTTGGCCTAATGATTACCACCCGTTATTAAATCTTAAGTCAGAGTAGACCCTCTGTAGATCTCTCTCCGTGCTTTTCAACTTTTTACTTACTATAAACAAAGTTAATTGTACTAGATGCCTATAAAGTATAGAATTTATTTCATTTTAGTTCTTAATATTTTAATTATATTATTTTAATTCTTGAAGTATTAAATATATTTTTTTGTGGTCTTTTAAGTAGACAGTATCAAGATTGCTAATAATTTTTTGATATAAATTTATCACGTAATACTTAAATATAGGTAAAAAAATAATTTGAAGAACTCTTGATCAAATTTTAACCAAATTTTGGTCAAAAAACTACCCAAATTATACAGTTTTGAACATGAATTATCCAAATTTTGGTCGAATGCTATCCATGACAAGCCCGAATCTAAGTGGGTCCAAGCCTAAGCCATGGGAGAGTCCAAACTAGCTAAAAAATAGGTTAAGCTCAGCTCTTAGACTCAGTCCAATCCAAAGTCCGAGAGACCCAGAAAGATGAATGTATGTGAGGAAACAATCATCGGAATAACAACTACATGACCATCACGTCTACAATTAATTGTATCGATCCTTAATGGTAGTTATCCTCCTTGAAAGACTAATAGTCTAATTTTTACGTTACCGCTTCAATTAAGACTCTATATCTATAAATTATAAGCCCCCAATATATAAGGGACATACAACTATATCTCACACAGAGAGAACACACACTTCACATTGAGCATACTCTTGCTCTTCCTCTTTCTCTCCAACTACCTTGTACTCTCTCATTAATAGAATTTTTCGGTTACCATTACTATCTTCAGTGGTTAGGTCACCAAGACCCAACCACCCAATCTTTTGCCTCTTATTATTAACTGTCTCATTAATTGTTTTACATCATATACTTGACTGATTAAAAATTATTAATAATTTGGATATTGTTAGCTTAAGCCTCGAGACCACATAAAAATATATTTAATTTCAAGAACTAAGATGATATAATTAAAAATATTAAAGATCAAAATAAAATAAACTCTATTCTTTAAAGATCTATTGTCCAATTAACCCCCGGAAATAAAATAAAGATAAGAACAAACTATTCCGCATTTTCACCATGCGGACGAAAGAGTTTATAGCCATTACCCTCCTCTATTCTTCCACATGGCACATAAGCTGCTCGACAGAAAGTCTCTGTGAAACCCGAAACGAACCGTGAAAACACACACACACACACACACACACACACTCACACTCACACTCACAAAGAAGCAGAGATGTGGAAGCGCGCGAATTTACTGTGTGCGCTAGTATCTTCCTCGAACTCGTCTCTTCTTGACCAGGTACAGATCCGATCTCATGCGATTAAACGGTTCTCTCCTTTTGTAAATGCCTCATAATGATCCGTCTACGTCTGATGATGATGTTCTTTACAAATTATATTATCGTTTGTTATAACTTGTAAATCTCTTGTTGATTCTGTGCGATTGTAATATTTGCTGATCGGCCAACGGTATTGTTTTTCTCTGGTTGACCGAATGCTTTTTCTCTGCTTGGCTGCGACAGTGTAGTGCACGAAAAAAAAAAAAAGGAAGAACGAAACTAAAAAATTGTCAGTTGTATGTACTGTATAAATTTAGCATGTTCGATCTGAGAATACTGAAATTTTCACTCAGTTGAGACCCTATGTTATGTGATGCATTTGTTAATCATTCAGATTTTATGAATGCCTAATTATTAATAAACAAACCAGGTTTAGTTACAAAATGGTCTCTGATGTTTAGTGACAGTCAATTTGATCCTGTAAGTCTAAATTTTTTCCACAGTTAATGAAGTTTTGTACCTTGAACCAATGTGATCCCTGATGCTAGCCACAATTGAGTTGAGTTTACTGCGTGTATGCCCATTGTTAAAGGTTACATGCAAGTCGCTCACCTTTTAGCATCCACTTTTCAAATTGTTGGCATTATGGATCTCATTGTTTTTTAGGACCCAATTGAGAAAATAGAAATGGCCCAAAGCAAATTGGTATGACCGCCAATTTTCAAGGGCCATCTGTACAGTTAAGCCCTAACGAAAAATGAAGAAGATATAATTATACTTGGCTAGGGAGTTGTTTGTGAGTGGGTATCACACATCAGGCAATTAGTGTAATTACGAATGCAAATAAGTGGGCCAAAGACCTTATAGCTTAAGTTTTTGGTTCAAGTTGGAATCCGGATATCTATATGAAGGCATAAAAATGTGATTCCCGTTACTCCAAAATAAACAGATGTTTAGAAATTGGTCCACACTTCTACCCTGATGATCAGTTGCCATAAGATATAAAGGCCCTTAAGGGACATGCATGCAGCAAGTGATACTCAGGCTATGGACAGAATATATGAGGTATGTGTGAATTATTTCTACCTTGTTTCTAGACTCCCATAGGAGGGACACTGTGTAATGCAATGATAATCATGCTCAGTTTCAGTTATGCAGTTCTTTTGTGTATCTATTTTGCATGATACTATTTAAACTGTTTTTCTTGTTAGTCCATAAACTGGAAATGGCACAAGAAGGATTGCTATTCAATTGAAGTTGGACCTTTCTAATTTAGGTATTCTTGCCAAAAATCTAGAGAAGAATATCCAAATTTAGAACAAAAAAGGATTTCATGAAAGCTGCTTCTAGTATTTTGCATTTTTTTCAGTATTTTATAGACTTCAAATACATGTTATGCATGGAAGTGCAAACTCTCAAATTTCTGTATGGCTCATTTGTTTTTACATCTGTGTAGAATTCTTGCACTACTACACATTTTTGTCTTTTTTTGATCCACCCGACACTGTTAGTACTTGTTTTCTTTTTTTTCCATTGTTAACTGCAGGCAGCCAATGGGTTTAAGAATTGGAAAGCATTCAGCACAGAAATACTGAAACCGGTATCTAGTTGATTGCTTTTTAGTCTCTTACCAGTTTTAGATTTCTGGTGAACATTTATTCTTGAATTTTATCATATACAGGGTTTAGATCATGCTTTGTCAGTGATTTTTCTTTCATCTGCTAAATATCTGCAAACTATCATGACTAGATGCAAATAAATATTCACTTTCTGTCTTTGAAGACTATGTTTCCTACATTACTTTTAGAAAGAGGCAAAGAGACCTCGATCTTCTTCAATTCGTATCAGCACAGCTTTTCCTTAATTATTTGAGTGTTTCACATGAAATTTGGGCATGGAGAGACCCCCCCCCCCCAACACTTGAGAAAGGACGTGGAAGCCTCCTATTGGAGTTTTTAAGTGAAAGTCATTAAAGAGACGATTGTTTTGCTGTTATTTGATTCAGTTGGATTTTTTTTTTAAATCTATGAGACAGGGGTGATTGTGGTATTGAAAACTCATATTTTTTGTATTGTTAAGACAGTGCACAGTTGCAGATAAAACTTGGTGGTTCCCTGTTATTTCTTAAATGATAGGGGATGCCCGAGTTGTTTTGCCAAAACCCTGGGGGTTTGTACATTATCCTTAAATCTGCTGTTCCGTAGTCTTGTTTGTAGGAAATGATTGGTCATTTTTCCTGCATTCAATCCAATATTTTTGCACTTTTCCTTGTTCCTTCTAATGTCTTTAATTCAAAATGCCTTACTGATGTGGTCATTTGGTTTGACTTGACCTTTAATTCTACCAATGTTTTTTTAGAATCTTCTCCTTTGAAGTTGTTGGCCCAAATTTTCTGTATAGAAGAAGTTTGTATGTTCTATTATGTTTGCTTGCTTCCTTTGTAGATTTGTTGAGTTTGCCAACATGCATTTACCAGTCTGTGATTTTTTTTTAACTGGGGTTTTGGTGAGATTTCTCTTTATTAATACTTCCACATCTAATTATCAGGTTTCGAGCATTTATCAAGATGTCAGGTGGATTATTTCTGTTATGTTGTTTCCTTTTTTGGATGTAGGCAGGAGGTGGAATCTCCCCCAAAGAGAGAACCCCATATATTACTTTTGTCCTAGGTAATTGACTTTGCATAATTGAATGAATAAATGTTACTATATTTTGTAGGCCGGAGACTGAAGTCATAAACTGTGCTATTTTTATTGCTGTTGCATTTTTTTTCCCACATTTTTTGTTATAGATCTTTTGTAGCTGTCTGAAAATATCTTAGGCAAGTCTTTGAATAGTAATGCTCTCATCCCATACAATTGTTGTTTTAAATGTTTGTAAGAATTATGGGAAACATAAGTTTGGTTAATCAAGACCGCATCTGTAATCATTCTTCACTCTGTACAATGAAGATCTGCCATTACACATGCATACACATTTCCTTGTGCATAAATTTGGTTTTTCATGTCTTTGGTTTGATGAGAAGAAAAGAAGGGAACACTATTTCATGCATAAGAAGGCTACTTGAGGTAATTGCTGTAGTCATTGTGAGCTGTGATGCTTATACATGTTCATATGCTTTCAGGAGGCCCTGGCAGTGGAAAAGGTACACAGTGTGCACGGATCGTAGAGACATTTGGGTTCACCCACCTAAGTGCAGGAGATCTCTTAAGGAAGGAAATATCCTCTAATAGTGAGAATGGGTAAGGTAGTCAAGTTCTCTCACCCGAGGATCATTGTCTAGCATGCGTTCGGATTGTTTGATGCCCCCTAATGATGGTTAAATTTGATGTTAGCTCCACGATTCTTAACACAATCAAGGAAGGAAAAATTGTTCCTTCAGAAGTGACTGTCAAATTGATCAAGAGGGCAATTGAATCATGTGAAAATTATAAGTTTCTCATCGACGGTTTCCCAAGGAGTGAAGAGAATCGCAAGACATATGAACGAGTTGTGAGTTTCTTCCCCCTACTGCCCCCAAAAAAAAAAAACCAAAAACAAAGAAAGAAAATGCAGACTGGTGCAGATCAGGCAATGGCTGTTTAAATTTATAAGCTCCTCAGTAGACCTACTGATTGGCAATATTAGTTTCATAATGCTGCTGATGCAAGATCCTAATTGTTAGATTGTAAATGCAGATTGGCACGGGACCAGATGTGGTGCTTTTCTTTGATGCCCCGAAGAAGAGATGGTCAAACGAGTGCTTAGCCGTAATGAGGTGCTTTTTATTTAACGGTGTTGAACAAAATCAAATTATTTCTTCATCCCCCTCCCTCTAAAATGTGTTGTGATGATGATTTTGGTCAGGGACGAGTTGATGACAATATAGATACAGTGAAGGAACGGCTCAAAGTGTTTACGACTTTGAATCTTCCTGTTATTAATTACTACACTGGGAAAGGGAAACTTTACAAGGTATTCATTCAGTACATATTGATGTATTTAATGTGTACTTATAGTTGACTAATCTTTTGGTGCATTGTATGTACTCATTGTTTCTGTGTCCATATTGTTGGTGCTATCATTGGATTGTAATTAGGAAATTACGACTTGCCTCTGATGTGCTTTTTGTTCATTTTCTATTCTTATATTCATTTTTGTCTGCTTATAATTGATTCAGTCTGGACCCTGATATTCTGTTTCATTTCATTACTTTTCTAAGACCGATGAATTGGTTGTGGTAATGGAATCCATTGCATGCAGATCAATGCTGTAGGAACAGAAGAGGAGATATTTGAACAGGTTCTGCCTGTTTTTGCTTCATGGAGGTATGCATCTACACTCTACTCTCTGGAGTTATACATTCAGATTTTTGTTTTACTCACCATCTGCTACTCATTATGGCTCGTTCTGAACATTTTCATTACCACAAACACCAATGCGTTGGAGGAGCATAAAACTATTTTCTTTCATCCTTTTAATCCAATGAATCGTGATCTTCTTTGCATTAAACACAACCACCAGTCCTAGCCTAAACCCACACACCGCCCAGGGTCGGCCTTTTTTAGAGTGTATGATATGCTTTGTGATCTCCATCACAGCTGAATGAGAAAATACTGACTGAGC